CTTTCAATTTATTAAAAAAAAAAAAAAGACTCGATAACTTAAATCAGTGAAAATAAGTTGCTTGAGATGGGGTCGTTTTTATGGAAAATTTTAGTGTTAATATTTTACTAATAAAACTACAGTTAATTTATCTTATATATACACAACGGAAGAGTTAATTGGATTTTTTTCTTGTTGAGTTTCAAAAATAGTAATTTAACATGATTTAAAAACAAATACATGAAATGGACAAAATAGGCCTGCAAAGGCGCTTTGTGCACAATCTCACCTGTATCGTGTATCGTGACGTAATGCGCGAATTCAATCTGGCTTACTTTTGTTAATAAATTTGCGTTCCATTTTAAATATACAGTTCACGGGGAAAAGATTATTTAAATATACACGGACCGGGAAAACAAGTACGAAAAAAATTCACTGGCTCCTGGACTAGTACTGTATCGAAGAAATTTTATGAATGAAACAAACTACGACCCTACTACAATTACGGTATACTCTAGTTCCGCTGTTGTTAGACGTTATTTTTTTTTACAATTTAAAGACCTAACAGTATTGCAAGCAAACGCAATAACATTACTACAGTTAAAAACATCGCAAACTTGGCATCAATATTTTAATTTTATCCAAATATTGCATTTCTGTCGAGGATCATCCGCGTTGACTTCAGAAATTGTGTAATCTGTCTTGGTTATATATATCTATGGTTAAAAGCACGTAAACTTGGCATCAATGTTCAATCAGATTAATGGATTTCTACCGCGGACACCACCGTTCATTCTTCAAAAATTTTGTAAATAATCCTATCTGTCTTGGTTATATATCTATGGTTTTAAATCTACTGTTAAAAATATTTCTTTTGGTGTACATTAACGTTCCCATCTGGGACCGCTATTATTTAATATTTATATTAATGATATTTCTAGAGGTTCTACTTTTGGAAGAGTTCCTTTTATGTACGCAGAAGATCTCAAAATAAACAACTTGGTAAAGACTATTACAGATTATCAAAAAATTACCACAATAAACTACAGATATATTATCAATTGAATAGCCTGTTCTTAAATCAAAAAGTATTATCAAATTAATATATATAAAACAACGCATTAAAGTGGTAATTCTGTAATTCAATACGTTTATTTTTAACGGGTGTTACATTTTAGGATTTTAACATAAATTGTAATTCTGTAAAAATAAAATTAACGCATACGTTAAATTTCCAAAAAAATTAACATACGTTAAAAGTTCAAATTTTCAATAAAAGTATGGTTAAGTTTTAAGGTCTGTCAAATAAATGTCATTCCTTCTGTTATATTTATTGTATCTGTCTGTTTTTGCACAAGAATATTGAAAAAAGTAGCGGCCGAATGTACTTTATAAACTATTTGGTAGGCCATCAATTTTCAATATAAAGAAAACTAACCCCAATAACCTTATAAATAGTACCTTTCTACGGCAAATCAATTACTAACTACAAAAAATTTATGTACACTATAAATAAGATATAATTTCTAAATAAAATTTGTGTAATTTTAACTGTTAAAATTACTTGAGTACTTACAAAATGGTTCATTTCATGATTTTCTTGCAATATAACTTGAATTAAACAATTAAAAGTCATATGTTATATGTTATATGTTAAGTTTTAAAGCCTTCTAATTAGTACATGTTAATATCCTCGATTTAACGCATAAAATTAACATATTTATGTTAAATTTTTAACACATTTCTGCTTATAGAATAGATTTTTGCAGCACAAATGAACTATTATGTTAATTATGACAAGTTAAAATTTTTCATGAATTTACATATTTAACATACGTTATATTTTTAAAGCCCGTTAAATTTTAACATATTCGTTATAGAATTACCACTTAAATTAGATTTTAGGTTAAAACAGATATATTATACTCTTATCTTACGATTTTAAAAATATCCAAACCCTTCGTACACTGTACTTGGCTAATGTCAATAGTATCCTTAACTATTGTATCAATAATATGGAGTCTACAGTATCAAATACCTATATAAATAATAATTGGAAAACATACAGGCTTTGTTAAATACATCCATAATAATATATTCTTGGTATACAGGGTGGACCGGATTTAATTTGCGTGTACAGAGATCTCGTAAACCGTAAGATATACATTGTCGGTAAAATGGGGAAAAAGTTTCGTATTTTGAAATATAATACAATGGTCCATAGAAGTTCCAGATTTTTTGACTGGTTCCGGAGATATTCGATAAAATCCGAAAAACTTCATTTTTCGTTTTTTTAAGTCGTGCGTTGTTATTATAAAAGATACAAAAAAAATTATACAAAGATTTTGTTATAAATCAAGTTCCCTATAATCTGCCATGTCAAAATTTTTATTACGACGTTTCGTATTTGCTGGGCCACATTCAACTTATTTTTTTAAATACGGACCTGGATTTATAACTGTAATTTTTTATAGCTTTTGTATATGTTACACTTTACCATTTTACTACGTTTTGTCTATGAAAATATCATCAGCTATGTAGCTTCTGATGATACCGTTTCTTACTTGATTAAAACAAGCTAGCTAATTAAATAATAATTAAAAAACAAAAAATGCTTAAAATGTGAAATTTTAGATATTATTTGAAACATAATACAAGAATTATTTATATAACAAAATGTGTTACAATTTTTTATCAAACATGATTAAGTACAACCAGCAAACAAGACTAATGAAGAACGAAATATGGTTGTACATATTCTACAAATAATAAAGCTAATAACAAAAACAAAATTCAAAAACAAAAACATATTAATTGCTCAAAATGTAGTCCATTCTGTTGGATACAGAGTGCAATTCTCCTAGACATTTGGGATGTAGTTTCTGGTGTTATTTTTTCAAATGCATCTACTATTCGTTGACGAAGTTCTTGTAGATTATTTGGCATATTTTTGTCGTAGATTTTGTTCTTTACGAAGCCCCATACAAAATAATCCATGGGGTTAAGATACGGAGATCGAGGAGGCCATCTTATTGGTTCATTGGTACCAATCCAATTACCTCTAAAATATTGATTCAGATATTCTGCAATCTGCAACCCTCCTAGCATTGTGTGCACCACAACCGTCTTGCATAAAGTATTGAAGATTTTGTCTTGTTTGTAAGGGCATCTCATCGAGTACTTCCTCCAATAAATGTAGGTATTGGAACTGATTTAAATTACCATCCAAAAAAATCGACCCAATAATCTGATTATGGACTACCACACATTTTCTATCAGAGTCCCCAGCGTGTAATTTCTGGACTTTTTGAAATTTATACCCGTGGTATTTATGTTTCTTTAAAATTCTTTTAACTGTGGAGGTTCCTACTACACATTTTTTAGCTATTCGCCTAGTAGAATTTTCAGGGTTAATATGTATTTGGGCAAGAACATTCATTTCATTATCAGTATGTCGAACCTGATATCTAGTTCTCCTTTTTTTCACACTGCTATGTTCTGCCATATTTTTTGAAATATAAGAAAACATTCTCTTAGATGGCTGTTGTCTATCAGGATATAAATCTAAATAAGTCTGAGCTGACCGGGTTTCATTCCTATAGCATTTTATGTACACATCATACATATCTTTCTTCTCTTCTTCAGTATAACGAACCATAATATTTATTTAATTTTAAATTATTTAAAGCTAAAAAAGTACTGTAATAATAGATGTTACAGATTATAACAGAAATATTGGTGACAAGTTACAACTGACATGCATGGCAAACATGATTTTGTTAAGATCTTATGTATGCAAAAATGAAAACATTAAAGATAGTAAAATTACGGTGTGAGAAACCTAAGCGAAATATTTTACAGCAAATCAGGTGATATGAATTTATAGATTGCTTGATCGTTTTGTTTTTCATTTTATGTTTTTGTTATTATTATTATTATTATTTGTAGAATGTGTACAACCATAATTCGTTCTTCATTAGTCTTGTTTGCTGGTTGTACTTAATCTTGTTTGATAAAAAATTGTAACCCATTTTGTAATTGAATAATTCTTGTATTATGTTTAAAATTTCACATTTTAAGCATTTTTGGTTTTTTAATTATTATTTAATTAGCTATCTTGTTTTAATCAAGTAAGAAGCGGTATCATCAGACGCTAATAGGTGATGATATTTTCATAGACGAAAGGTAGTAAAACGGTAAAGTGTAACATATCGTTGTATTTAGCTATACAAAAGCTATAGACAATTATATTTAAAAATACAGGTCCGTATTTAAAAAAATAAGTTGAAGGTGGCCCTGCAAATACGAAACGTCGTAATAAAAATTTTGATACGGCAGATTATAGGGAACTTGATTTATAACAAAAACTTCGTATAATTTTTTTTTTGTATCTTTTATAATAACAACGCTTGACTTAAAAATCGAAAATGAGGTTTTTCGGATTTTATCGAATATCTCCGGAACCAGTCAGAAAATCTGGAACTTCTATGGACCATTGTATTATCCGTCAAAATACGAAACTTTTTTTCTATTTAACCGACAATGTATATCTTACGGTTTACGAGATATCTGTATACGCAAATTAAATCCGGTCCACCCTGTACATTATACGAATTATTTACTTAAACTAACCTTCGGCTTTTTCCATTGGAAAATAGATGACAAATTAAAAAAAAATACACTCATTTATAAGATATTTAATAACCTTGTGGATTCTTTACAAATATAACTCTTTGTTGATGTATGACCGACATATTAAAAATATATTTTACTTAACCTTCCCTAATACTAATTATTTTTACTAGTACAATTGACAGAGACTTTTTTCTTTTATCTGTTAATACAAAATTAAACTCTAACAAATCTAACAAAGAGTTTTTAGCCATTTCAGCACATATATTTTGTATTTAAATGACTTTGTCTTCTGGTTTATTAATTCACTATGTTTTGTTTTTGTTACTAATAGTAAAACTGTTTTTTTTTGTTCCTTTTACTCTAAATAAAACTGCATATATTTTCAGAATATTTACGATACGCTCCTTGCATAAAAAGTACCATTGTCCAAAGGATTCATTGTGGTCCTCAATACAGTTTATTGGTGGATCAAGTAGATCAAGGCGACATTATATCAAAATCTACTTTGTGCTGGTAAGAGATTATTAACGTTAAGTTTCCATTAATTTATCCTATAAATAATTTTGTATCCTTTTTCAGTTCTCATGATCGATTTAAACAATGCATTCAAAGAGAAACTAGAAGGTTATGTGATAGAGGAATATCAGATGGACCTGCATCAAGATTTGCTACCCAAATAATCGACAAAGCTCTTAGATTTTTACAAGAACAATGTGTAAACTATATGTAAGTAATTAATTTTTAATACAACGATATGATCGTTTCTTTATACGAGCACCTATAATAAGTAATATTATGCTTAAAACAGAAATGGTCCACTGTAGATAAATAAAAAAAACTTTAAGATTTCTTTCTTTTTTCGTTTTTATATTAGCGATAATGTATACTGTTTGAGATATTTTTTGAATCTGTAAGAATAGCGTCTTATATAGACGGTTCCAAACCTTGAGGTTGAAGAGGTCTGTGAATGGATTTCTACATTGTTTGGTTTTAAGAAGGAAGAACTCCAGTTGTGGCAAATGAAAATGAAGGGGTGACTCTTGGATAAAGTAGATCTCACATAATAAGAGTAAAGTGTTTAGAATTTACACGAAAGCAACGTATAAATTCACGAACTACCCTTTTTGTAGTAGTTTTACCAATATCTTTTATAAATGACTGAAAAGAGACCGGCGTGAAGTAGATATAAATGTTCTAACCTGAATAGAAGAGTTGTACCATGATGATGAAATGTTTTTTGTCGTAATTAAATTTGGAATGTAGTAATCTTCCGCTGACTCGTGTTATGCAATTTTTATCGAAAAAGGGATTTAATAAGAGAAATTTACTTTTCAAAGAAATAAGTCGATTTTGACTAAATTCTTTTAATTCAGAAGAAATATTTTCTTTTTTTTACTACTTTAATAATACAAGTAAAAGGTCTACAATAAGCGATAACCCTTTTTAATGATTAAAATTTTGAAAAAAAAATTTTTCTTTAGAGCAGAAATATTACATTGAACATTTTACTTGAGCACGGGTAAATTATCTTGAGAATTGAGAATTGGGGGAAAGGAGGATCGTGCCACCATAGAGTTAACGATTCAAGAAGATTCGTGACAATAGGTCAGCAGGATTTTCCTCGACATGTCTTTGAATTAGAATTAATTTTAGGAACTTTATTACCTACAAACGTTTTAAGAAGATGTGACGACGTTTTGATCCATCCCAAAACAATGGTTGAATCTGTCCGTAAATTGATATTTGATAGTCGTGGTAGAATAAGTGCTCCACAGGGTTCAAGACAAAGAATACTAATTTTCTTTGAGGGCGCTACCTTTGTCTTTGCACATAGTAGATTCACCATGATTTCACTATTGCAGTACCATACACAGATTCACTGGCATCGAAAAACCCATGTAATTCAACATTTTTTACGTTATTTGATAATAATGTGCCTAGAAATCCGTAAATCGTTTAACAGACGAAGTTTATCTCTAAAGGACAACTATTGAGTGTGAATATCTAGAGAAACAGATTGATCTCACTCTAATTTTTCTAACTATACTCATTATAACATTTTAAACTTTATAACAGAAACACTCAAAAGTTGCAATGAATCAAATATTTGAGTTCTACTGGTTACTATCCTAAGAAGATGTTTTGGTTGAATTGAAAATAATAGAAAATCCTATTTAGAACACCATCGAAGACTCAATATCTTGGTGCTTTTATTCGAACCCAAAGAGAAAGATATGTCGGAAGCAGATGACGAACTTTGAATGATTTCCAACGCTGATAAATTATTAAACACTCACTTTCGAAAATGAAAACAACCTTTATTTAGAAACTGTTTAATTTTTTGACAATGAAGAGTAAGTTGTGAGACGGAGTCAGATTCTGTTAGCAAACATAAAAATCGTCTGCAATAATTTTGGAAGATTGTGAGTAAATTTGAGAGCTTTCATATAACAATTGGTCCAAAAAGCTAGCAGCAGCAGTGCCGTACGTTAGTGTATAGAGAATATGTGTCAACAGAATCGGACGGTTCAGATCTCAACCAGATCTTTTGTAGATGTCTCTAAGAGGAACAGAACAGAGCTTGACGTTTCATTTTAGCAATGTCAGTAGAATCAACGTAAGAATATTGTCTGAATCCTAAAAGAATTGACAGAAGATAATTTTGGACTGCAGGTGCGACCATCTAATGGTAATTTATTAAATCACCGGAACTAATAGTACAAGATCTATCGAATACTACTTTAAGACGAGTTGTAAGGGAATCCTATACTTCATGATCGGGAACATGTGACCCATTAATATGTACTTGTTGATAAAAGAAATATTCATAATAGAATTATTTTGAAATTTAAGCTCAAGGCTATAAAATAATTTTCCAGCCTCTGATTCTCCCAACATTTCAATGGTAGATTTGTACGACAAACTTACCATCAGGATTTCTACGTTAGGTTGATATGAAATGATTTGTGCAATCTAACTTTTCCTTTCAAAGAACCTGACTTGTGGAACATTCTTGAGAACCTTATGAGATCAGGATTGACATTTTGAGAGAAACGATAAATTAAATTCTGGGAAGTTAATTTGGAAAAAGGGGCCAAGAGAAACTGGACAAGTCGTGTTTTTTAAAGAATAGGTTTATGTGAACTTGATGTTATTTGTCCTGCACCTATTAGAAGGTCTATGCAGGATGAAATAGGGAATGGATCTGATAAACGAATGTCTGTATGCACAAAGAAGAATTAACGAACCTGGAACCTGGTCACATGTAGAAGAGTGCAATAAATTTATTGATAAAGTGCATTTATATTTGATACTCAAAGGTATTTGAGTAATCCTGTCGTGGAAATATCAATGCGTTCCTTGAGAAGGCTTAACTTCGAAGCAAGATCATCAGTAATAAAATTAGACTCTCCAAAATGTCTCAACAAGTGTGTGCTTAGATTTTGTGCTTTTATTCGTCAATAAAATATATTATTAAAATCTTCCCTAGAATTGTTTTTTTGTGGAAATTCACAAAGGTTTGAAATTGTCTATAGAAATGTATTAAAAAGTTTTCAACCTTGTTAAATTTTAAAAATTATACCACTTTTGTTGCTTAAACTACTATTATCATATTCATATTTGAATGTTCTTAATATTTTAAGTAATCAACTTTTTTTTTTTATTTACAAAATTTTGTTATACAAAATTATAGATACATTATTGCATTTTGTTTTAGTCCCAAAATTAGTATTTTTGTACTGATTAATTTTTCATTAAATACTTTTTAGCCCTAACTCTGGCGACTGTATGATCCATCATTCTAATGACCCTTACGCGGACAGAACAGACTCTTTGGTAATTTCCACCTCGTCCAGTGAAACCCAGCCATGGAGTACATTCCAAGAAGCTCGACCCAAGGAAGACATCTTTGCAAGTGTAAGTCCCTCTAGACCTACTTACCCGTGGGGATCTTCAAGCTTTCCGACAAGCAGAACTTTTCCTACTGGCAGAAGCGTATCTCCTAGCAGCGACTATTTAGGATCCAGAACTCGACCTGGTTCTTATGGAAGGGCTAGTTGGGGCGAAGCAAATGGAAACCAGGCATTGGGTAGTAATACTGTTCAAATGTACCCTGATGTATCATCTACACGATCCACGAGGCCGGAATGGAGCAGTTCTCCTTGGGACAGCAGACAGTCCAGTACTAGTCCAAGTGAGTAATATCATTTTGTATTTTTATTTCTACTCTTAGTAACGGGCCAACCACACTAGACTAATACTAGAAAACTAAATAACAAAGAAAATAGGTTTGGTTTAAGCCTGATTTTATTACATAGAAGTGCAAATTGCTTGAAATAAGGGACACTAAAGATACTTTTTTTCCCCTGGGCTCGTCTGACTATATGTCTCCGAATAACACTGAAGCCTATTCGCTTATTGTGTTTTACCCCATGTTAGTTCATAGCACCCACTCTATTACCTTTGTACCTTGTACAAGTTTGTACAGATCCTTGGGTGAGTGGGTTCTATACGTTGTTGGATCAACCTCGGGTTGTCCAAAAAGAGCCTGTCTTTTGCGATCTAGAGCTTACTAAAGATACTCCTGACTATCTATTAGTCTTTATCAATAAGGTATAGCAAAGTTGCAATGAGTATAGAGTATAGAGATGAATAGACCATAAATACAACATATACATACATATCAATTTGTTACTGTAAACCTTCCTCGTTAAATTAGTTAGGAACGTCACTGAATATAATTTGTCACGAGAATTTGAAAGACATCATCACAGCATGAGGTTTGGTTTATTCAGTCGTGTTTATTGAGTTCCAGACTAATCATAATTTTGTGTTGACGGAATTTAAGACTTTCGTGTAAAATTCTCCTTACGATTTTGTCTCGTCGAATTCATCATGATAATAAAAACCATACAAGTTATACTATCGAAGATAGAACTTACAAGCAGAGGCGGAGCGAAATTTGGGAAATTGTATTTCAATTTTAGCTTCTGCTTGTATATAACTCCTTATGGAGAATATGAAACGCGAATTGCAATAAAGCTTATCAGCATTTGGTTAAAGAACAATCTGGTATTTAAATAAAATGACAATTTGAACTAGAAACACAAAATATAATTGTTACGGCCGTTTGTATTTTAAATTTTTAAATGTAAAATTGGTTGCCTACATTAAATTAATTATAACGCAGATATGGATAGAGGAGATATGAAAATGCCATTTTACCCGGTGTTTCAAAATAAGCATACCATGTAGACCGCCTTTTTTTACTTTTTAATTGCAGTTAAAGTGTATGATAGTCATTTTGGTACACAAGTCGTTCGCGGTGATCTCTTGTCAGTGATATGTTACAAATCGCAGTTGCGCACAAACGTTTCTGATTATTTATCAGTGACAAGTCATGTATTTGTCGGCGACAGGCTCCGCGAACAAAGCTTATAATTACTATATAGTGACAGCTAATTACTGTGAATAAATAAAGATATATTGGTAAGTCATAAATCCAGATTTGTCTTTATTATTTACATTCCATTTTTTTTTTTGGCAAGCCGGCTTCAAATCTAGTCATGAATATTAAAAATTACCAAGGTAAATTTTATTTTATTATAATTCTTTGTTGGAATCGACTCTGGCCATCCAATTTTCACGTTGCTATAGATATTTGTCAGTTAGAAATGTAATGTCATGTTTTCAATATACAGAAAGTAAATTTGCATTTTTAATTAATTTTTCACATTAAAAGAAAAGTATAGAAATGCAATACAGTCAAAAACACATTCATTTGGTCCTTCTAAGCGCGGATTACAGTGCCATTCATTACAAAATATTCTACATTCAACTCCAAGAATTCAGGTTCACCATAAGTCAGTGAATCAGGAATTTTGGGTAAACTTCACAGTCCTCTTAGTCATTATACAAAGAATATTGATTTAATTTGTATTACGTTTTCAAAGTCTCATACACAATTTATTGCATTTTCTTATTCTCCATTTTTATATTCTTTAATTGCATTTAGTATCTAGATACGTCCATTTTCATGATATTCTGACATGGATCTAAAAAAATTGCATGGTAATCGTGGTAGCATTAAAACACGATTAACGATTTTTCAAAATTTTCTCTCAAAATGTCAATCGAATGTTCAAGAAACAGATTTTAGTTTCGTCGTCGTTACAATCGAGTTGAAAATTTAATAAATGAATTTACAGAAATACAAAATCAAATTGGTGCTGTGATTGATGAAGCTAACATTCAAACAGAATTTTCAGCTAGAGAAGAATTCGAAAATAGTTTTTATGCAACTCTTTCATATGCACAAAAATTTATGATCTCGAATAGTGAGTCTGGTTTTGAAAATAATTCAGTTTCAAACCATAATCAATCAACCATCAATAATCATTTTTAAAACGATTTCTTAGGTATTAAATTGCCATCTTCCCATATTTTCAGAGGAACCATGCGATTGGCTTTAATTTCAAGATAGCTTCAAGGCATTAATTATTGATAATTCAAACATTTCGAATATCCAAAGATTTCACTGTTTAAAATCTGCACTAAGCTTTTGAGACTATTGCTATTGCAAATATTAAACTTACAAAAGATAATTTTGTTATAGCTTGGGATTTATTATGTGATCAATACACTGATAAGAGGGCATTATTGCATGAACATGCTAAAGCTTTATATAACATTGATTCAATCAAAAAAGAATCTTCTAAAGCACTTAAGCATATTGTTGATCATGTTAAAATGCACTTACGTTTACTAAAGGTTCTCGGTGAGCCAACTGAGTATTGGGATACGTTATTAATTTATTACATTACTACAAAGTTAGACCCAACTACAACGAGAGAATGGGAGAACAAATAATTTTCTGATAAACCAACCTTAGAAGATTTCTTGCTTTTTTTGAAACAAAAATCCAAAATGTTAAGAAAAAATTGAAGATAAACAGTTGGAAACAAATCAGAGTCATTCTTCCAAACATTTTCCCTTTTCAACATCACTATCTAAAAACAAGTCTCAAAAGGCTTTCCATTTTTCAGTTCGTGTTTGTCAGGCATGCCATTCAAATAATCATAGGTTATTTAATTGTAGCAAATTTTTATAAATGAGCATACCCGAGCGAACAGAATTAGTGAAAACTTCAAAACTATGCATAAACTGTATGAATTCTGGTCTTGATCAGATCATCTAATGTACAATATTAATAATTCATTATCAACTTCAACAAAGGTTACTAAACGTATCATTTTATCGATCATTGCACAAATATTTGATCCACTTGGATTATTAAGTCCTTGTACTATTGTAGCTAAAATGTTTCTTCAGAAACTTTGGCTAAAAAAACTTTCCTGCAGATATTCATACAAGATGGCTTATTGTTAGATTTCAAAATGAGCTTAAGTATCCTAATAATTTCGACATACCTAGACATGTTAAATGTAAATCTCCTATTCACATGCAACTTCATGTTTTCTCAGATTCCAGTGAACGAGCGTACGGCGCATGTGCTTTTATAAGAAGTGTTGATTTATTAGGCAGTGTATGTACACCTTTTAAGTGCAAAAATAAAGGTAGCTCCCTTAAAGGTAGTTACTTTACCAAGATTAGAACTATGTAGTGCTTTACTAGCTGCACGACTTTCACATAAGGTTCACACACCCTTTCGTTTATCATTTAATGACATTTTTTACTGGACTGACTCTACAACAGTTATTGGTTGGATTAATACTCCTTCAAATCTTTTGAAAACCTTCGTAGCTAACAGAGTTTCGAAAATTCAATCCAAGACAAATATTCAATCCTGGCATCATGTTGGTACCATAGATAATTCTGCTGATCTTCTATCTAGGGGAACAAATCCAAATTCGTTAACAACTTTAGTGGCTTGGTCCTCAATGGTTATCTCTTCCTCAACACGACTGGCCCCTGTCATTATCAACTCTCTCGGATGTTCTACCTGATTTAAAAGAAACAATGCAATCTTACACTGTCATTTCAAATTCTCCTATTTTTCAAATTGAGAATTACTCAAGTCTAAATAAATTAAAATGCGTTGCAGCATACTGCCTTCGATTTATTTATAACTGCATTTCTAGAAACTCTAAGATATCAGGTCCTTTATCACCATCTGGGTTCGACTCTGGACTCAACCTTTTAGTAAAATTGGTTCAGCAAAAACATTTCGCTTCAGAAATTGCTCAGTTACAAAACGAAAAACAAGATTTAAGTAAAGTAATATTCATACCTTATCTCCATTTTTAGATAAAGAAATTCTTAGAGTTGGGGGTAGATTAAAATTTTCACAAAAAGCATCCAATTTTCACCTCAAAAGAGTTATTCAAGAAGCTCTTCTTGTGTATGAGTATTTTCTGACCTTATTCGAATTAATTTTAAATTCTTGACCGCTGCATCCTGCAAGTTCTAATCCAAATGATGTCAGTCCTATTACACCAGCTCATTTTATTATTAGAAGAACTTTTATTTCACTACCAGAATTAAATTACGAAGACATTCCAGACAATATACTAAGTCGTTTTTAACGTCTTCAAAGCATTAAGCAACATATTTGGAATCGTTGGTCAAAGGACTTCAACGTCGTCAGAAATGATCAACTAATAACCCAAATATTCAATTAAATAGGTTAGTCACCATTAAAGAAAACACGCCTCCATTACATTGGAAATTGGGAAGAGTGATAGCTTTACACCCTGGACGTTGTTGTACGTGCAGTAACACTAAAGACAGCTAATGGAGAAGTACGTCGTGCTGTTGCATATACAGTGAGCACCATAAGTCTTACCCCCCCTATCTAAATCATTACTGGAGTCTTGTTAGGAAAATCGCCGAGACACGTCGATTTTTGTTTTCTACAATGTACATTTTTGTATAAATAGTTTACCCTTAATTTCATCCCTTACTGGAGGGGAGCAACCCTTTCGAAAAATTGGGGTGAGTGATAGCTTATTTGAAAGAGAGTTTTATTCTCTATTCAACCGTGTAAAAAATTTTGAAATTTACTTCATTAACTCTCGACTAATTGTTGTTTCAGAATAACGGAAATTAACGTAGCGCACTCATCCTTAGAATTAAAATTCGGCCCTGCATGATTTCGGTTTTGGTTCAGACGTGAAGTAAGACTTTTTGCCATTAGAAGATCACTGTTAGTTTAGTTGCTTTCCTATTTTGTGA